ATTAAAAAAAAAGAAATTCTTCACTTCCCCCAAGATCCCTGCACACACACACACACACACACACTTCTTCAACCACCTTCAAGCAACAACCTTCTAAACATTAACTCTCCCCTGAAACTCCCAGTGTTGGTATCCTAGCCTGGCATGCTAAAAATACCCCTGCACTGCTGAGAGGAGCAGCACATTCAAACAAGCCTCGTGCTCAACACAATGAAACCACACTGAGAAGAGCTTGATCTCAACTCCTCCTCCACCATTGCAGGAGCAGGGTCCCCTCCTCACCCCACACCCAGCCCAGGGTGGGTTTGGGTGCCCCAGCACCCAAGCAGGGCACGTGTCTGCAGCTCAGCCCTGCCCTCCCTCCCCACGGGAACAGCCTCCTTCAAGAGCCAGCACGACACTCCTGTTGCTATAGGAACACCAGAGCTGCAATCACCGAGGTCTCAGCACAATTCCCAGCTCGGGCTTCCAAACTGCACTGCTTCCATCTGCAGAGCTGCCAGAGCCCAGGGCCAGCCCACCCTTCAGGGCTGGAAGGAACTGGGGAGCAGGAAACGTGGCTTCTAGGCAGGATGATCCCCCTGAGAGGCATTTTGTCTGTCCTCAAAAATATGGGAGAAAGCCTCAATTTCATCATTTTGAGCTGGAGAAGCCTGAGGAGTGCGAGCTGCCCGAGCTCCTGCTGCAATGCAGGCAAGAGCAATATGTTAATATTCCCAAATATCCTGGTTCCAGCCCCTCTCCAGCACACACACACTGGTTGAACAGAGATGCCTCTGGGTTCCTCAGTTATTCCTGGAGCCATAAAAAACCAAAGCAACAACCAAGCCACAGATGCCAGATAAAAAGCTCCCCAAGGAAAGGAAAACACCCTGTATTTTACACCTCCACAAAGGTGCTAAACAGCAATGACTGAACACTAAAATGGTTATTAAAAATTTGAGCATGACATTAATGTTAGGACTCTTTAATTAATGCTAAATTTAAGTATTAAATACCTCACTTTGGAGTTTTATAACTGTTGGTTTAGAGTTTTATAACTGTTGTTCACAGCTCTTCTGGGTTACTGAGAGCTCATCCCCTCTGCTACCAGTTCACCTTTCGGTGGATGATAAAGTATTTTTAATACATCAGATAAGCCTTCTCTGGAGAAGGGTATCAAAGTCAACACACTGAGGGACTCAGCACTTCCTGAGAGTCTGGAATACACTGAAAGGAAAGGGCAAACAGAGTTGGAATTGAAAAGAAAGAAAAAGAAAGAAAAAAAAAGACTATTTTCAGACTGGAGTACATTTTCTGGCCATCCAAGATCCCTTCACAGATCTGTTGCCCCAACATACGTTGTAGCAATAAATGTGAGGAGTTTAGAACACAAACTACAGAGATCTGCACTGATTTCCATTTGGTATCTGCTCCAGCACTTTAGAAAGGCTGGGATATTTCTCATTACTACCTGATTTACACAAAGATATTCTGAATAACTCTGAGCTGCCTGTCAGGAAAAGAAGATTCACTCCAAGAGCAGGCAGTGCTTCAGGAGTGGAGGTGTTTCAGATGTGAAAGGAAACCTGTAAACAATCCTAACCCAGTGATTTTCTGCATCTGAACAGATGAATCCCTTTTGAAAGCAAGCTAAGAAATAAGGACATAAAGAATAAAATTTCATCTCTTCCAGTAAAAATAACCACAAATTCAAGGAGAGTAGCAATTAAGAGAGGTATTCTGAGATGCTTCTGGATCAAAATGAGCCATTAACTTCCACTGCTGGTTCCTAAGACAGCAAACAGAGTACCAGGGAGGAGCTTCAGATGTCAGAGATGTGGTTATTAACAGTGGCTCACTGAGGGTTTATGGCACAAGCCTGGGTTCGGCAGGGACAGTGTCAGCTGCTTTCCTCAAGGCACTGGCACATCCCTGCACAAAGGGACACCGAGGCTGCAGTGACTCCCTGTGGTCAAAGAGGCTCTCACAGAGGGTGGCAGATGTGTCACAAGCGCTGCAGGGAGCACCAGCCCCTGACAGGCTCAGCAGCCACTGCTGGGAGACCCCCAGGCAGCTCTTCTGAGACACCATTTCATGGATGCACAACAAAGGAAAACCTGAAAATTGTATCAGAGACCGTGAGACCCTTAAAAAAACTACTAGACCATCCATCCTCTATAATCTTGTCCAAAAAAACCCCAACCAACCAACCAAACCAATCCCAACCAACCTTCCTGTGACTCTGGAGCCAGACCCCAGCACTTTGGAGCAACCCACAGAAACCTGCAGGTCCAGAACAAAGCCCCCAGAGTGCTAATGCCAAGGATGTCATTCCTTTTTTTTTTTTTCTTTTCTTTTTTTGGGAACAAAACAGGGATGTGAAGTCAGCTCGGTGTCTTTTGTGCCTGCTGGAGGGAAGTGGCTCTAAAAGACAGGTCTGGGACAAGTCAGGCTGAGAGCAACTTGTCCTGCTGGGGAACAAAGGGCTGTGACGCCCTCTGAGGGCCAACTCCTTGGAAGTTACTCCTTAAATAACACCTCTTTTGTTGTTGGGGAAGACAAGCTGCATTAAAATAAAAAAAATCCACAGGAGATTGAGTGGAAAGAGCAGAAAAGCAGGGGAGTAAATTCCTGTGAGCAATCCTGGAGCACAGCGAGCTGTCGGTGTGCAGACCTGGATGGGATTTTCAGCACAAGATAATGCCATCTAGTGGAGATGGAATCTCCCTCAGGGTGGCAAACTGGCCACCTCTGTGCCTGCATTGCCGATTTGCAGTGATTTCTCAGTGTCACCCTTCCTGTGTCACCAAGCCCAGGATGCAGCAGAAGGGACAGACAGACAGACAGACGGTGATTGCTGATGTGGAACCCCCACACCCCAGAGCAGCAGCAGCACTGACTGTCACAAAACTGGAGAGGTTTCTGAGGAAATCAAAGTCCTGGGCAATAAATTACAGCTGCAGCTTGGTCTTTCTCTGAAGGAAAAAGTATTTGGTTGTGTTACTTCAATTCTATTTTACATCTTGCTTTTCTCTCCTTCATTTGGAGAGATGGCCCCTCTGAAGGAGTAAAAAAAAACCAACATCCTTTCCCACTTCTCTAAATATTTAACTGATTTTCTTCCCCTTTTTTTTTTTCCCCTATCAAGAAAAATCTTAATAGTCAGGCCAGTAGTTTAATTATAATCTGGGAGGACTGAAGGTAGATTGTGGGGTCAGATCTCCCAGGAGAGACATCAGAGTCTCAGATTAGATTCAAGTAAGCATCCCCAGGGAGAGCTTCACTTCCCTGGGGACAAAGGTTTAAGAATCTTCAAGGACTTCATGAAAACAATGACAGAGAAAATCAGCTGCTAACTGTTCAAATATGGGACAAAGACCACTTCTGGAAGAAGGTGTGAAGCTCTTACGTTTCCTGCATTGCCTGATCGGTGAGCTGAGCAGCAGACTAAGGAACTCTTACTCTTTCTTTCCTTAACATTTAAAAGTCACATCAAAATGCAATTTTTTTTTGAGTCTGCATGGTGGGAAAAATATAATTTCACAGCCAGTAAAATCAGACAGCTCAGACAGCGAGCTGGATCAAGGTGTGCAGGAAGGATCTGTATCTGTGTCCCCTGGCTGGAGTTCTGTTTCTGTCATCTTTGCCACAGTGCAGGTCACTCAGCATGGATTGGCACTGTGAAAAACATAACTTTTTTAAGGACAACACTGAAAAATGATTGTGTTTACCTCAGTTTTTGACAAGGAACTGCCAAATTTCCCCTTTAGACTGGGCAGGAGAGTCAAAGAATCCTGAGCCAAAACACACAAGTAGATAGATCTACCTCCACCAAGCCCCAGCTATGTGAGGAATGAACACACAGCCTTAAAACAGAGCAGCAAGTTCGTGCAGGTTGTGTTTCTGATGCATTTCTAAATGTCTTAGATCTATATTAAGTTTCTGCTCAACTCAGTTCTGGCACTGGAGCCTCCCAATCTTCCTTCAACACCAAAGTGTGCATTAGGAACGTGATCTGGCACGAGGCCTGGGCAGGGGAGGGAAACAAATTCAGTGAGAAACATTCCGGTTCAGAAGAGATTAGTGGGACTCACAGCAGCTCCACACAGTTGTTTACCAAGACTTCTGCAAAGAATTAACAAAACCAGCACGTAGATCATCCCCTTAATGGGAATCTAAATAAACCAAAGCAGATTTGCAAACTTATTACGTGTCTGCTGCCCCTGTCTGGGAATTAATTACGTTGTGCAAATTAAAGATATGCAAGGGGAAACAAATTCCTCCTATTGTTAATCTTTCCCTCTTGCTCTGCTGAAATGGTAACACTGCACTTCATTTCCCCACTCATGGAAATGGGAAAAACAGATGATGGTGTTGGATGATTCCATTTTATTTTGTGACTATACTGTTATCAAGCAACTGGAGTCACAGTAACTAAATTATCACATGCCCAACACATGCTTTTGTACCTTAGAAATCTGTATTTACTTTGCATTTGATTGTGTTATGAAACTCCCAGTCTGAAGAGTACAAAGAAAGTGCTTGCAAACCACCCCTAGCCTTGTTCCTTTTTAAGCACAGATGTCCAGTGTAAGAATAAATATAAAAACCCTGATGATCTACATCTTATGCAGAGGGTCTATGCTGAACAGAGTAGGAACCAGAGGCACCTATGCATACCTGAATTTTCCTGCACACACAGAACAAGAATCAATTTATCAGATTAATATTTATTTCTATTTAGTGTGTTAGACAGGGTAGGAAGCTCTATACATGCATTTAGAGCTCACAGGACTTTGGCCATCAGTGTTTTGAGTTATCATGGGGAATAAAGGTGTTTAAAAATGCTCCTCATCCTAAGGAATCTCAGCTTTAGTGGGGATTGACTTTACCTGTTAAAATAAAACCACTGCTGACCAGTTCACTGTCGTTCTCTCCCAGAGCATATCCCGGACTGCAGGGTGGGTTCATGAAGACACAGATGAACCAAACCCAAGGCAAGGAAGCTCAGTACTCACCCTGGTCAATGGAGTGCTGGGGAAGCTGGCTGAGCTGGCTGTTCACCACCCCTGCGTACGTGCGCAGGAACTCCTCCTCGCTGGCCGTCAGCTGGGGGGGACAGGCAGTCAGCAACAGGAAAAACCAGACACATCATCTCCCACTCCCCAATAAAACATCACAGCTGCCTCTGTTCTCCTCTCAGCACTTTAATCACCTGTTATTTGTGCAGCTCTACCATCAGCAAACTGGAGCATGGTGAATTCACGGGCAGGCTCAAAGTCACCTTAAAACACTTGCTTTGCTGTTTTCCCAGTGATGAAAAGCTTTAAGTCTAAACATCTGATCATTTATCCACACATGGCAGTTTCAGGCATCACAAGCCTCATAATATTTGAGCAAAAATCAATTGTGTTTAACTGCAGATCACGGTTAAATCAACGACAGCTGAAACAATTCAGCGGCAAAACCAGCCCCTCACCTGCCCATCTCAACAAGCACTATCCCAGTTGCTACAAAAATGTCTGGAAAGCCATAAAATAAGGACTATGAATCAATCTTACATTTGATCCCATCTTCCTCAGCATGAGTAGAACTCTGACTTTCTGCTGAATGTACATCTCCTCCGGACTCTTTCCGGGGACGCCCTCACGGTTCATTCCCCTCCTGCCAGCTCCTGGATTTCCTGAGGATCACAAGAACACAAACTGAAATACTTCATGGGTAAACCAGGAATACAGAAGGAGTTTCATTTACCTGTTTTTCACCAGTTGGCAGATCACTGAATACCCTGGGAGCGTAAAGAATCACATCCTTCATCAGAGAAATCCTTAAAACTGTGAACAGCTAACGTGGGCCTTACATATGCAAACATTCAGCGGGGCTGATGTTCACATCCCCAGCAGCTCATTATCTGTGGTTACCTCACTGCCTGAGTGGAAAAAGAATTCTAACAACCAGATGAAAGGTTCACCCTGACAGAAGAGACCGTGGTTTGGGGTTTTTTCCATAAATAAGCCCAACCAGAATGAAAACAGGATGCAGAAAGCACAGCCATCCAGCCTGCAATGGCTAAACAAAAGCTGGGTGAAATCACAGCTCTTAAGTCTTTCTCCTCTCCCTTTCTATTTTTAACTTTATATATCATATCAAAAAGGCCACTGCACTTCTGTAAAAGTTACTAAAATGTATGAACTGGTTTTGGAGAGAAAGAAGAGTAGGGAAGGAGTAGAGTTTCTCATCCCTTCTCGTATCATTTCAAACCTGAACTCTTGCTTTTTTATTTTAATAAAAAGTAATGATGTTATGGAATAAACAGGCTGTGCTATCTGAATTCTACAGCACAAAGCATGATTATGTATTGTTATGTATCTGGTGATTATTGAAGTTCCATAACATGGTGTTTACCAAGACAAAAAACAAAAACAAAACCAAAACAGAGATGCTCTTCAGTTGCTCTTAAAGATGATCTTGAAGTTTATTAAGGTAACAACAGCTCACAAAGTGACTCCACAGCAGCTCTCCAGTTCGTTTTCATCCCCAGGACTGGGTCTGGCTCTATCCCGAGCTATAAATGGGATTTCCTGAACCTCAGGAACCAAGGGCACACCACCCAGGGCTGCCTCAGTGAAGGCTCCATCCCAGCAGGCTCAGACACTGTTTTCCCTCTGATGTTTTCCTGCAGTCATCACCAACCTCTCCCCTCACTTCATTTTCATTATGACTTTTAAGGGAAAGTAATCTGGGTGTGGAAAGAGTTTAAAATTACAGCCAGGCCCTGCTGAGTGAGTCAGAAGCAGTGCAGACTTCAGCAGCAGCTGCTGGGATAGGCTTTGCCACCCACAGCACTGAGCATGCAGATAACAGCAGTGGAAAGTGAGGCAGATCCATCACAGCCCTTCCTGAACAACTTTCAGTGGGAAGACCTGCACGAGGCTGATTTGCTGTTGATGGTTCTGCCTGGAAATTTGCAGCCTGCACACGTGCAAGGGGATTTTTTTGGGGTATACTCAGCAAACTGCTCTCTGAAGGAAGAACAAACCAATCCCCTATTTCTGTGTAGTGTCAACTCAAATCAGTAAATTGGATTATGTTACTGAGCACATACTCCACAGTGCAATTTACTGAGTGCTAACAAGTGATGCCAACTGCAAGACAATGACCAAAACCAGAGCAAGGGACATTTTGTTTTATCCAGAGACTGATAAAACAATAAACATTTATCAAGATGCCAAGTCAGGTTGAAAGGTTGTGACTGGTCCCTAAAATTATAAATAATTTCTTTTTTAAAATATTGTTGCTTGAAAAGGGAAGGTGCTGTACTAACAACCAATCAATTCAGGAAAGAAAAACCATGACAGCAAAAACCTGCAATGTGATAACACACCCATGGTTTAGAAAATGCAACAAAATATATGGGATATCAACAGGTGGCACCATCCACAAGCACCAAGAAAATGTCCTGGCTGCCCCTGTGCCAGTGAGGGAGACTCATCCACTTCACCTCTCCTCTGCACACAGGATACTGTGCAGCCTGCACATGTTGTTATTCATTGTTTCCCATCACAGTGATCTTCTAGTTGCTTATTAATTTCCAGCCTTTGCAAGGGGGCGATGGAAAGTCCTGTCTAAACCTGGTTCTTCTAAAGGAACCTTCAGCCAAAATGGGTTTGTTGTGAACCCACCTGTTTACCAGGAAGGATAAAGATCCCGAGGCCTGGCCATCCAGGGAATGCTGACACAGTGAGCAACATGGGGGAAAAAATGCACTCAATATGGCCCAAAATATAGGTATAATGAGGTTAACTCAAGCTGCTTTTCATTCACCACACAATTATTTTGGTCAACAGCCTCAACCATCACAGCTCTTCCTGCTTGGTGACATCAGAGTAGAAAACAGAAGCCTTAAAACAGCACTGAAGAATCTGAACATCTCTCTGTTCCTGTTACATGAAGCTTTCCCAAGACAGGGTTTAGGATGACAACAGCACCCAGCAGACATTACATCAGATCTCCAAACCCACGTCCAAAGCTGGGCCGTGCCCAGAACCCAACACGATCCATCCTTACAAACCAAGGGCTGACAAATCTTATCAAAGCACTGCTCAGCTTTGTTTTCTCAAGAAAGCTACATGAATGTGCTCTGAATAACAAAACATTACTCAAGCAGCATCTCCCTGCCCCTGCAATCCCTTTCTGGCAGGTGGCTGAAGTCGTTGTTGCCCCATCCCCAACCAACAGAAGATCAGATTTCCCTGCCAACGTACCTGCTTCTAAAAACCACAGCAGATGAAGATAACCCACGTGTTCAGTCCTGATTAGTGACTGGGGCTGGGAAAAATGTATGAGGAAACTGCCCTGTGGAAACAAATGAGCACAGCATTACAGAAATATCCACAGCTGAACCCCAGAAAGACCCTTCATTCCATAAGATTTGAATCCCAGTCTGCTTCAGCACACGGCCTAGGTAAAATTCATATACACCTGCAGCTTGTCTGGAGCCTGGAGACCCTTTTTCCTCTTTAAAGAGTAAGTTTTTTAAAATTCAAGCCATTCTTCATCTGCAGGATTCCCACCCTGACCATACCAGTGACATTCCCAACCCCTTGAGAATGAAATGCATTCAAGCTTTGCATTCTTCAGGAAGCTCCCAGCATCAAACCCAACCCCCTGGAAAAACCAATCAGCACTGTGACGTGGAGTTTCTTCTAGTAAAAAACCCCAAATCAGGCACATCTCACCAGGGATTTGAGGAGAACGAGGGAGAAATGTAAAGCATGCTGATTGTGACCAAAATTACTGTTTTCAGCTATGCCTGTGTTATCTGAATGCAGCAATTCCATGGACTGGCACTGGAAAGCTGGGCTGGAAAACCCTTTGCACAGAGATTTTCAGACCAGCTTCGCTCTTCAGTCCCCAACAGCCAGAAACAGTTATTTACTTTTGTTTTTCAGACTTGGGACATATTTCTGAACATATTTTACAGCTGGGTCTCAGGGCATGGTAAGAATTCATTACTTCCCACCCACCCAGCCCGTATCAGCCTCTCAGACAAGCAGCTCAATGTCACAAATGAAGTGACAGCTCAAACCCTCTGTAACAGGCAGTGGAACAGCAAGGGACACCACCCAGGACAGCATCACAGCCAGAATCAGGTGAAAAATGGCACAAATTTCTGCATTTAATGAAATGTTTCTCATTAAGGTAGATGTGCACAGCTGCACCATTTGTTAATGAACTGCAGTTGAAATGTAGCAAACACACTCTCCCTTTTTAATTCTTTTTTCCCCCCTCTTTTTGTGGTCAACAAATGAAGGCTGATCTAGACTAATTCCACCTTTCCATGGCTGTTCAGCACTCCATGGAGATGCCATCACCAGCAGGGAAGCAAGATGGGAGCAGCCAGAGAGAAAAGCTGAATCCAAGATCCTGCCAGAGCTTCACCTGGCAGCATTTCCACATTCATCTCTAACAAACCCTAAAAAATAAGAACTAACCAGATTTTGTCCTGGTCAGGAGATTCTGCCAAAGCTTCACTCTCCCCACACCCTCCCAGGAGCAGGAGGAAAGAAATAACTGACCCCTTTCCAACTCAGCCATCACCAGAATACAAAACATTTCTCCAACTGACAATCAAAGCTGCTCCTGCCCCAATGGGCTTACTTTCCTAGACTGGATTTAAGAAGAGATAAAACCATGCCAGGCTCTTTACCATGAAAATGAAATGAAAAAAAACCACAAAACCAAAAAACAAGAAACTATTTTAAGCACAAAGAGCCCAGATTCAATGCATCCTTATCCTTCCATCCTAAATAATTCTGCTTCTTTGCAATGGTTTACACTTGGGCCAGAGACTGCTACAGAGGGTGTTTAACTGACAGGAAAATGTAAAAGCTGAGAAGTGATAATTACAGGTTCAGAGATGTGGGGAGATGGACAAAGTGCCAGTTAAAGAGACCAGGATGCTTCCCCACCTTGTGAGGATAAAGGAGTTTTTAAGCTAAAAGATAAGGCCCAGTCACTGAAAAGAAACATGTTTTTAAAGTCCTTGTCAATGAATTACAACAGCACAAGGAAACTGAGCTGGCATCAGGATGCCAAGGGTTGGATGCTGGGAGTGGAATGTCAGCTGATCAGTAAAGATAAGAACTGATTTTGCGCATCCCATCCATCACCAACAAACTCATCGACAGCACTAATGAATCCTACTGTGTGCAGTTAAAACACACAATTCACTTATTTACCTATTCTTGCTCAGATATTTTATACTGCATATGAGAAAGAGCCCCCGAAAAACAACATTTCAATCTGTATTTTCAGCACAAAAAGCCAGACAGGGAGATAGAAAAACAAGAACTGCTGTGTGCTGGACTGAAGGAATCTCCACAGCATCAACAGAGCTCAACTGGAACACTGCTCATCCAAGGGAATGAACAGGCAAAGCCATTCCAAAGCCCAGTGACACGTTCACTGGTTTGTACTGGCCGAACAAAGGAACACTGGGGTCTCAGCTGGATTTCTGGGAATCATATTCAGGATTATTAGCACGGAAGGAAGAGATGCCAAAGGCTGGTGAAGCCACATGGAATTCACTGTTCTGTCAGCTCTGGAACTGGTCTCTCCAGGTGAGGGGGAGGCAGATGTGCAGAGCCAACAGGAAAGTTTGGGCTGCCAGGACTTCCCAGTTGCAGCCAGACATGGCTCTACTCCCCAGTGCCACCCTTCAATCCCCTTCTCCTAACAAGGATTAACCTGGGCCTTTCAGGAGCTGCAGTTTGAGTCTGAAATCCCAACATTCCTCACTAAACTGTGTTAAGAGCCTAAATCCTTCGAGCTTGTCCTGCTGCATCCAACACCCTGCAAATGGACACAACTGGGTCACCTCATTCTCCCTTGTTTGCCAGGCACAGGCAACGAAATTTAGCGCTCATTTATTTGTAAGATGATTCACACCACAGAATAATAACCAACAACCATCCGAACATCACTGCCAGAGCAATCCATCTGAATCTGCAAACATTCCGAGCAGGGAAGGAGGTTGGTCAGGCACCAGCTGGCAGAGCTGAGCTGCTGGGTGAGGATCCCAGGAATTCCTTCTCCGCTCTGCAAGGCCCGACGTGTGGAGTGGGCAGAGCCAAGCACGCCTGACATCCTGACATCCCCTCCCCTGTGCCTGCTGCCAGCCCCATCTGCTGGCTCTGGGAAGGGCACCTGCAGTCCTGGCCCCCTGGCAAAAGGAGCTCTGAGTGTCACCTGCCTCCAGAACGCTCCAGGTTGAGGCCACACTTTCTAGCAAGGCAGTAAAAGATGAGAACAAAGCAGACATGCACTTGGAACCAGGAGAGGAAGGTACTTCTGGGATACTTTACAATTATATTACCCAAGTAGAAGAGGATTAACTACTCTTAACTAGCACTGAGATGCTTCCCTACCTCTCCACCTTGTTACTTGTCCCCTAAAGGCTTTAGTGAAAATATAATATATTCCACCCCAAAAAGTGAACTGAAAGCCTGCAGTGGCCTTCTCTTCAATCACTGACCCCAGACACAGAATTAATCATGAGAAAACACTGTAATTGCCATTAGCTCCCCCTTTTACATTTTTTTCCTGACCAGATTTAGAACATCAGTGGGTTTTCACTTTATAAAAATGTAGACAGGAGAAATCTGCACTGCATCTCAGTTTAACTCGTCTGTTTTACCAACAGATGGAAACAGCTCCTCAGGAAACTCAAGCCTCAGCAGCAAGAACTGTTTTGACTGAACCTTCAGCAGAGGATTCCAACACACAGCAACTGAAAATTACAGATTTGTAACTCTATCTCCCCTCACTTCCACCTACATTCCTGGGAATTCAGAACCTGGATGGGATTCTTTGATGGACAAGGCCACAGATGGGTTCATAATACAGAACTTCTAAATTGCTCTCGACTCCCTCTCTTAAATAAATAAATAAATAAATAAATATTTCACATCCCAACAGGGAAAAAAAAAAGGCACGTTACAAAAATGTGGGCTTATAAATTTTGCATAAGGGAAACCACTTAAGCATCCCATTCAATTTTAAAGACATGCTTATTTAATGCAATGAGAAAGTAACATGAGCTTTTGTGCCTTCAAATTCCATATTAAAGCCCCCCACACACACACTGCAGTCCTCTGTAATGCTGAAAATCCCAACAACCACATTTGACTGGTTTGGGGAAAAAAAAAAACAAAAACAAGTGAAACTGAGGAATCTGCACAGCCTATATTAAGGGGGGAAAAAATAAAAAGGCAGTCAGCTGTCAGAAAATGTAACATTTTACATATTCAGCCTTAATAATTTAGGGTACTCCGAGCAGCCATCTGGCAAGCTCTTTCAGATGTAACTCAGCTGACTACCTCTTTAATAGCTGGTGGCATTTCCAGTTATAGCCAAAAGAAACCCACCAGGAGCTGGTTCAGCTGCGATTTATTTCTCTTTTCCCTTGAACCCGACTGGTTCCGTTCAAGGCAGTAAAAGCCCTCAATTAACGGGGCAGGATCAGGAGAGCTCGGCTGAGGAGTTGTGCAGAATAAACCCAAGCCCTGCAGGTTTCCTTTGCTCTGCACAAACGGAGTTCAGAGCCGGCGTGAGGGGTCCCCTCGCTCCGTGGGATCATTAACCAAGGTTAAGCCGCTCCCCTTCCCAGTTCCACCACGGAGCGCTTAAATCATCGACACACCAGGAAGCTTTAAGAGCAAAAAGGGGAGGCTGCCCCTCATTTAAGCCTCGTTAATTTTCAAATGAGGTTTTGCAGAGAACAGCCAGAGCCCAAAAAAACCTTCCAAGCTGGAGGGAGCCCGAAACCTGGAGTCAGGAACCAGAGTCTGCAAAATCCTGCTGCAAATTCTCTTCTAATTCGTTCTGACTGGTGACCTTCAGTCACAGGCAGCTGGAGACTGGATTAATTCCCAGCTCCAGAGGGACACAATGAAGAATTCATAACAGCTACCTATTTATAGGTGAACAGTAAGAGTTGAAATATTTAATAAGGTTGGGTTTTTTTTTTTTTTGTCTTCCTTTCTATGTTCAGTACTGCCTTTTAGCTGACTTCAGAATCTGAACCCCAGTGTCAGATTTAGGTCAATTTACTGCTGGAACTCCTGAGGTAGGTTTGCATCTCTTAAATGTTAAGATTTAAATTTTTAACGAAACTTTCTGGGAGAGACAGGAGCCAGCCCAGAATGCTGCCACCTACTCATGAAACATCTGTGAACACAAGCAGGGGTTTTTTTCCTCCCCCAGTGCTGCAATCACCTTTGAGAGCTTCAAAATGGACTTCTGAAGTCGTAATGAAGAGCATTCAGCAAAGCTCCCCAATATATCAGAACAGT